ACAAAGAAAATTTTCATAATAAGATTCATTTAATAATGCAAAAACAGGCATGAAATTGTTATAAAATAAATCCATCGAGATAAGAAGTTTGTTGCATACTATATAGCTATGCCTATGACTAGTGATGGGTTGAAATATTTATTACACACATAATAATTACAAATAGATGAAAATACTAAAATATAAAAGAATAGAAAAAGAAGGAAGGAAATGAAGGGTAGGCTCTAAACAGCCATTAGCGTTGTCAGCTTCTTCACATTTATTAATTTTGACACTCTTTCCCCCTCGTTTTTTCCATCCGTTTTCTTCGGTAATAATTATCATTATACGTTCATAATCTTAGTTTACAAAGATCAGGATTATCGGCTTGAATTTGAAAACAAGCCTTTTTTGTTGCCGAAAAATTCAAACCTCGTTTTAAAAGTTTTAGTAAAAATTAGAATTTGAAACACCAACAAAAAATGCTTTGTGACAGGTACTGTAAGCGGAAATCCCCGACTTGCTGAGATGCGGTCTTTTGATCCGAAATATGCAGTTGAGAATTTTTGCAGTTTATTTCAGGTACCATTTATAGTGCTTGAGGATGCGAAATCGAAAAGTATCGTGATAACAATACGTGGTACTGCTTCCATGATGGATGCAGTCAATGATCTTTCACTGGATGATGAAGCATTTTCGGTGGACGTTGACCAGGATCCGATCCTTCGACGAGATGAAAAGCTTGATGCACCAGACAAGGTAGATACACTCTGAGTGGAGCCACTAAAATCCATACCCTGTTGCTGTTGATGTAACTCTTCTAAACGTTCCCCTTACCGGTCAGATTCTGGTAACTCTGTCTTATCGGATGATTCTTGAACCCTTTAATCTCACTGGCATTTTTCTTGAATACAGCCATGCTTTTATAACTTGCTTCCCTATCTATTTGCAGTTGGCAGTTTTCCAGTTCCTTTGATCAGTGCTGCTTCTCCTAACACTTAGTGGTGCTTGCTTAACAATAAACTTTGTGGGGAAAAAAAATGAGACTATGTAATTTTTTTGTGACACAGTAGGAAGTACCACAACTGTCATGCAGAAATACCAGGCTAGTATCAG